AGTAGAATATAATGCGAAAATGTTTGGTTCCTTTCTTCACTTTTTTTATGTAATCTTCAATGACACTCGGTGTATAAGAATTTTGGCTCTGTCTCCTCAATAAAAAATTAAAATTATACGGGTGTTACTTCAACAGATTATTTGCTTACTTGATTTCAAATGTACGGATCTCTATTTTCTTGAAGAAAATGATTAATTTATTCTCAAATATTTTAATGCTTTTTATTTTATGAATTTTATCCTTGGTTGGCTGCTCTTTGGTTACAACAGTGGCTTTTTGTATTGGAACATTAAAAAACCGGATATCATGCAATATTAGGAAATTAAAAGGAAATCCAGTGTTAATAACGCCATCATACAATATTAGGAAATTAAAAGGAAATCCAGTGTTAATAACGCCATCGGAGAGAACATATATCTTTTATTCATGACTTTACGAAACATTGCTATATTAAACTATGGGAAAGGGCTAAAAGCTGGAAAATACAAAACAAATCAGACTAGTGTACAGATGGTTTTAAGAATCAAAACAGTACAAGAGCTGAGATTTACAATGTGAACTCAGAAAAGATCATTAGTCTAAACCTGAGGTCACCGGCAACAGAGTTCCAGGTCACAGTAACAGCAATAAATGACTGTGTTCCATGCCAGTTTACTCTCTTAGATATAGATAATCTTAATTATATCACACAGCCTGGGGATGTTATTTAAGTACACCAAAACTTAGATATAAAATTTAATTTTATATTGGACTGCCAACATTCTCTCCAGACTTCGGTAGAATATAATGATGTCTTTTTAGAAAACATTGTGGCCTAAGAAGGCACCTTAATATCTTAAAGATATCTGACGATTCCCTGTGTAGAAAATGTAAAGAGGATAATACTAATAAAGTGCTTTATTAATAAAAAACCATTGAAAATAAAATATATATGTAAAAAAATATTAAAATAAAGCCAAAAACACCGATAAGTGCCTAGACACTTCTGTGGTCTATGAAATATATATGCTCGAAGATCTTGACTAAAAACTCCAATTACGTAAAAAACGACTTGTGACCTTTTAAGCGCCGGCCACAGACTTGTTTCATTTACAACAGAATGAACATATATACAAAAAATAGTAAAATTTACAAATACATATACAAATGTAATAATTATTTAAAAAAGAAGAAAAAAGACAACGTAACACTAAATTATTATCAATATTTTTAATAATTATTTAGTTTTCAAAAAGATTATTAATAATAGACCTATTAATATCAATACTAAAGTGTTTTAGATGTCTTTTGAAGCCACAAATACTTTTAATTGTTTTTAAATTTTCTGATATAGCGTTGTATAGTTTTATTGCTATAAACAGATAAGAACGCTGGGCACAAGATTTGTTCATAAATGAAAAAACAAAGTGATGTTTCTAGCGAGTGTTATACTGGTGAGATGGAAGTGGAGCTTGTTGTTTATGAAGGTGATTTCTAACACACGAACACAAATAGTATAAGAGGGCATGTTCAAAAATTTTGCAATTTTTTTATGAATAATAGGGTTGAAAATAAAGCTACGTTTTTTTTTATCTATTCATTTGCCAGAGTTATGAATTTTTTTAAATTTATGACGTCACCGGGAATAGACCAATAGAAGCTAGCGCCACAACGTTGCCGGTTAGAAGGTTTACGAGAAGTGATGTACGTTCGTTTGTGTACTCCTTCTTACATTTAGACTTCTAAAACATCGTTATACAAATATCTTTTAAATATATAATATCAAATGTTTTTTGAAAGTATTATTTCTGTTTAAACTTTTATCATATTTAAAGTTTCATTGTTTTAAAAGTCACTTAATAATTCTGAAAATGGCAAAATGGCAGCACTGTGTATGTCATCTGTCATAGTGTCTCAATCAAGAATTTATTTGGAATTTAAGTGTTGATTTTGTACTTTTTATAAATATTATGACTACAAAAAAGTGTTTTGTTCCAGAATGTGATAATGATTCACATTCATCTTCAAAAATATTTATTCGTGTTCCTAGAAATTTGGAAAGAAGAAAATCAACCTTCTACTAGCGATGTTTCTCGTGAACTTTTTAATAAAAATGCACCGGATTATCAAGATGTAGCAGCAATTTCTGCTAATTGTTCCCTTCAGGAAATTGAAAATGAGGCTACTATAAATTCTTAGGTGTATAACCTAAAAACACTTCTGGAAGAAAATCCAGAATATCCTGAAAGTTTTGAAGATAGCGAATGTATTCATCATTTTCTGGAAGAATTAGTGATAAAGAAATAAAAGAAAAATGTGAGTATTTAAACAAACTGGTTCCTGGATCCCAAATAATGGCAGATAGGGGTTTCAGAATACTTGAAAACATGGGATGCACTTTAGTAAAGCCACACCCAGTGTGTCACATAATGAAAACAGTTCTCCAGAAGATGTACAATTAAGTAAAAGAATAGCATCTCTAAGAATACATGTGGAAAGAGTTATAAGAAGGGTTATGGAATTTAACATGTTAAAACCACATTCCTGTGGGAATTTTAAGCAAGTACATTTACTTAGTAATATCTGCATAATTGCTTGTGGTATTGTTAACTTACAAGAACCTATTTTGTGAGAGTAACTTCAACTGATAACATTAACGTTTAACGTCTATCACAAAACTAAACTCTGACATCAGGTCGTCGCCTTATATAGCTTGACTCCCCTTCTAGAACCTTCTCGAACAATCTGGACTTTTCTTTGACAAGGAATGACATTTCAAGACTTTTCGGGAATATTCTATCTTCCTCATTTACTCGTACCTTTACGTATGATGACCGCAGCACGCTACAGGGTGCTGCGTAACAATAGATATTAGAAAAAATAAGTTATTGTTTAGAATTAGTTCTTGATCTAGCGCCCCTGCAAGCGGGTAGTAGGCTTTTTTGTGACTTGATGATTGAGGTTTATATTTTGGATGTTTCTTCTTCAAATACGTCAGCTACTTGTTTAATACTCGGAGTAGAAGAGGCACTGTTTGCTTGTTGTGTATTTGACTGTTTAATTTGGCCTTCGATTTCCAAGATTTGTTCAGCTGTATAGCTATCGCTATCTACATATAATTTGTCTCCTTTGATATAACACTTACTACTTGTTGTTTTTACTCTTTTTGGATGAAGGAGGGCGAAACTACTACCCACTTACTATGTCAATGCCAGAACTTTAAATGGAAATGATAATTCCGAATACAACATTTAGAACCCTAAGAAATTGCAGAAGCGCTCATCAGACACATTCTTGAAAACATCCAGAATATTATTATCTAGATTGTTAGATGTTTAACAGTTTTCTGAATTATATTAACTGTAATGTGCATATTCTAAACAAAATCTCTTTTAGGAAGAACGTATAACGTTTTTACATTAAAAACATGTTTTTGCGGTTGAACTAAACAGAAATAGACGTAAACGTCGAATGAGCGTAAATTGAGAATTCCCGGTAAAATGCAACTCGTAAAATATGTGAAGAGTCGTTAGAAAACTTTTCACTAATGAGTTTTCGGTTATGGCTTCTTTTCTAACGGCATCCGATTAACGAGTTAATTGGTTTCGTTTTAGATACGGGTTGAAGGCAAAACTATGCTTCCAGAAAAGAAGATTTACGCTTGCTCGAAGAAAAATTTAAACATAAAATTATGCCCTGACCAATTTTAAAATATTATATTAAACATTAAGCCTACATTATTACAGTGTATAGATCTGACTTTAACTGCGCTTTTTATTTATAGTCCCTAATCTGACTGCAAAAAGTGGCATGATGTGTTTTTTTATTGCCTTTTGTAGTTGGGTATAAGTAATGTGGATGAACAACGTGTACTCTGTCCCAGTGGTGGAAACTTTTCGTGTAACTTACAAATTCAAAATAATGTTGCTTATCGATGGATATTTTGGTTTCTGTTGGAAATGAATTAATTTGTTTCTAGACGTCTATAACAATCAAAGCATTTTCTGTCATCAGGTAATGTTACTTCCGATATAATGAAATCACTATAGTTACACCAAAAGTAGCAAAAACCGTCTAGAAACATATTGTTTCATTGCCAGTTAAATTCGACCGATTCTCTAATAGTCTAATAGAATAAAAAATTAACCTTTAAATTCCATACAAATTTCAATGTTTGATTTAAAAGTGTCAATTTGCTTATAGCTATGAAGTGTATTTTACCTTTGCTGTTTTTCAACTTTTATTAACTTCTCCAACAAGTTCAAAACACTTAACATTCAATAACAATTATCTATGTATATCAATCTAAAAACCTTTTTTTTCTCAAAATTCAACTGACTACCTTTTAAAATTTTATTACTACCGTTTCTGGGGGTGGGTTGGCTCAGTGTTAAATGTATGACTTTTAGATCGAAAGGTCTCAGGATCGAATCCCACCGGTAAAAGCAATTTAATTTGATAAAAATAATTAAATATTAATTCAAATGCACAGGTAGGATTTCCCACTCGACCATTTACTGTTAGGTTCTAATTAACAGTGTTGTTCCTAAAGTGGCGATGAGAAACAGTAACACAGTCTACCCAAAATATGAGGCTAATGACCAAAGTAACTGATGCCGATGGCACCAAATAAAAAGAATACTATCGTCTGACATTCTTTTCCAAAAATATATCGATTTTTCAAATAATTACCCATCAAATATTTATTAATCAATTTTGACAACAAATACTAGGTAGGACACTTATTTATCAATTTTGACAACAAAAACTAGGTCACTTAATTAATTTTGAACCAATTATACCATAATATCAATATAAAAGTTAAAAAATATGTAATTTATTCAAAAATAAAACGCACCCAAAAAATTATCCAAATTTACTGTCACTGTCAATTTTGTTTGGCATACAAATTTACGTCATGAATAATACCTACAACGTATAATAAACATTGGAATCCATGTTCAACTAAGAACTACTTACATGTAGTTGTATCAAGTAACCCTAGATAAAGACTACTTACCATAAGGGACTACCCTTGTCAACTAGAAATTTAATCATAAATTTAACTCAAGCACGGCTATTAAAGATAAATTCAACAGAAGCCGATGCGAAACATATGACAAAATTATTATTAATAAAATATTATAACGCATTATTTTAAGGCCGCAGTATCAATGTATTTTTTATATAAGAAGCATTTAAATCGCGATAAATGTATTAAAATGAATCTTCTACCAGCTTAAAATATAAGGTTTGGAGAATGAAATCTCCTATTTTTTATTTGTCCTGTTTATACACTGAATTTAAAAAAAAATCATAAAAAGTGATTTTAAAAACCAGAACTAAAAAGTAGGAGATTTCATTCTACATATTTTTCCAAGTATCCCGCCAAAATATTTCCAAATTTTATTGTGTATTTTTCAAATCTAACTGGAAATACGATTAACAAATATTTGATAAATTTATTTGTCGAATTAGAGATTTTCTATAAATTCCTGTAATTGTGTAGTTCATCTATTTTTAAGAAGATGTCATCGTAAAATAGATGAATGATTGTTTAGAGGTACCAATTTTTGAAACAGTGATACAGCTGTATGCCGTCTTTTATTGTTTCGTGATTTTCATATATATTTGTCTCGCTTCGCGTTCCAGATACAAAATTATCGATTTATGTTCCTTGCGTATGAACAAGTATTGGCCACGATGCCAGATGTACAATAATTATCGATTTATACGATAATTTCACAAATTCTTTCTCGGACAAATTTAATTTTAAAGTGGCTGAAATGCAGGAAAGGAAAGGAACTTTATTGCAATCTGATGTAATTTAAATCCGAATGACCTGGCATCACTGTATGGTACGAACGTAATATTTGCGGCACTTGCTTACTTAACACTTGCTTAGTTAACACGTTGACTGCTATGTGTATATACCCTTGTGTATGTCCCATTAGTGCGTAATTGTTTAATATTTTAATTTGTGTTAAAGACACGCAAACATGTTTCAAAGAAAAGTTATATGGATTTGGAAAATACATATTTTAAAAATTTTTGGATATACAGGGTGTTACATTTTTGCCTAGCCTATTTTTTTAAATAGAACAACATGTATTTTATTTCAGTTTAAGAATGGTTTGGTAATACTGTATTCAAGCCTAAAATGTTTTAAAAAAATATTACAGGTTTGCCAAGAAATTAAATTTTTATGAAATTAGAGAATGATGCACAGCCCAAATGAAATTATCATAATTTGGATGGGATTACATTGATTTTAAAATGTTTTAATACACATACTTGTAGCACATTAATATGACGGATAGTGATGATAGTGCTGGATTCTTTTATACCCAGTGTTTTAAATCATGTCATATATATGTTTACTTTTAGGTTCAATTTACTTAATTTTTACAAAGGCAACACCCAGTATAATATTTTAGCATACAATTCCTTATACATTTACCTATCCAACAATACCAACATGTTAGAGAATAACACATATACAGAGTGTCCCATTAGTGCGAAATTGATCGATAGCTGTTTTATTATTGAAAATGAGAAATAAAATAATATAAACGTTGTATGACTATAATTAAAAATTATTCTTAAATATACAGGGTGGTCCACAAACGAGGTGTTGACCAAATCTATACATTTTTAAAGCAAAACACCCTGCAGGTAGTTATACATATTGATTGTTTTCAGGTCGTCAATTATTTTTAATTGATTTCATTCATTTGCTATGTTATATACAGGGTGTGCCAAAACGCGAGGTTACGATTTTTTTAATTTTTTCAATGGAATTCACTCTATTAATTAATTGGTGGTATAACATACAGGGTATCACATTTAAAAAATTGAGAAAATCGTACCTCGCATTTTGACACATTCTATATACAACATAGCAAATGAATCAAATTAAAATTATTGTTCGACGATGTAAAAACAATCAAATATGTATAACTAACTGCAGGGTGTTTTGCTTTAAAAATGTGTAGGTTTGGTCAGACAATCGTTTATGGATCACCCTGCATATTTATGAATAATTGTTATATATGGTCATACAACTTTTATATTAATTTTTTTCGAATGTCCTATTATAAAACTGCTATCGATCAATAACGCAATCATGGCACACCCTGTATATGTGTTATTGACTCATCATATTGGTATCTTTGGATATGTAAATTTATAAGGAATTATATGCTTAAATAATATACAGGGTGTGGCATTTGAAAAAATTAAATAAATTAACTTGGAATTAGCCATATTTAAGACTTGTTTTTCAAAACACTCTGTATAAAATAATCCAGTTCTATCACCACTATTCATTAGCTTAGTATCTTATTACTATTTAAAAAAAAAATTGAAATCATTGTACCTAAATTATAATTTAATTTGGGGTCTGCATCATTCTCTAATTTCATAAAAAAATTAATTTATTGGCAACCCTGCAATATTTGTTAATAAAATTCTAGGGTTAAATGCAGTATTATAAAAACATTCTAAAACTGAAGTAAAATACAGGGTTTTCTATTTATAAAATATACCTTTTTATTTGTCAGACAAAAACGCAAAACACTTTATGTCTAAAAATATCAGCTATAGAATACCTATTTTTGAAATTCATATAGGTTTTATTTAGAAATTGTTTACGTGTCCATAACACAAATTGAAATATTGAACAATTACGCACTAATGGGACAACCTGGATATATTTTTCACAATATATGCACGCGGCATATATCTGTAATAATTTAATCCCGCGCCGCGTTTATATATTTTATTCACGCTTTTATTAGATATTAAAGTTTACCTAAGTATTTAATTTACTTTACTCTTAAAACGTAAAAACAGACTTTAATTTTTAGAAAAATTACTTCGGCAGTCAACGTGTTTTCAATGCTTTTTAATTCATTTGTTGTTTTATTTGTATTTAGTTATTAATATTTTAAAAATGCTTAGTTTTCTTATTGATTAATCTAAAATGAACATGTAATTTTTATTAATAATTGAAAATAGTACTGTAATTCTAAATTGATAAAAAAAGTGAAAATAAAAACTTAATATGAAAACATAAATTACGACTCTACAAATGAAGTAAAATTTAATAATTAATTTCTTTTTTCTTACAAAAATATTTCTCAACAATATGTCATAAGTACCATACACATAGTATGTCTATGTAAGTTGACAGCATATAGAAAACTTTTTTAATTATTCATTTTACGAAAAAAAGTTATTTTTCATAAAATTTTATGCATGGTCTAACAGAAAAACACCGGATATCAAATTTTATCAATCGGTTTTACAAAGTTTGTCAAAAAATATGATTTTGTTCAAGATAAAATACCATTATTTTCGACAAACCCTGTATACGACTGATAAAATTTGATATCAGATGAATAAATTTTAGGTTTTAAACCATGCATAACTTTTTGGGTAAAGTTTTTTTTTTTCTAAAATTAATAGACCATTCAATTGTTTATGAAAAATAAGATTTTTTCTTAAAATTCTTAAAAAAAGTTTTCCGTATGCCGCCAACTTAAGTAAACACACTGTACATATAAATGAGATTAAATTTGTTGAAAATAATTTTTACTGATGCAGATCTAAATAAAGTATTGTTGGCAAATAAGGAAATAAAAACACTTTTTTATTATTTTTCTTTTTTTATTTGGTTCTTTGGCTGCAAGACCTTCCGGTATATACAGGATATTCCATTAAAAATGGGAGCAACTGAAGATTAACTGATTAGAAATAAGTCGATTAAACGAAACATCCGTAGGTAAAACATTGCTCGTTTCAGAAAAACAGGGTTTTAAAGTTGAAAATCAAAAATTATGATTAGATACAATTTTTTTATTACCTACTCAGTTTAATTTTACTAAATTCGGCAAACGTTATTGGTGTAATAAAATATACCTATCAGAAAAAAATAAGTAAAATAAGCTTTGCCAGTGGCGTACTTCATGGGCAAGTAACACCTTTTTCCCTTTTAAATTTTAGTCCACTGTCCAAAAACTTTTGATGTTTTTCAAATTTGGAAATTCTGAAATTTTTAAATTTCGATTTTTTTTATTAAATTTCTAAAAAGAGTACATTATTTTATGTCCAAATAACTTTTTGGATAGTGACGTAAAATTTAGGTGGGATGCGGTATTACGTACCAATGCTATACGCCTCTGAAAAAGTTAATTAAGGTAACTAATTTTTTTGCTGATAGGTGGATATTATAACACCAAAAACGTTTGCCAAATTTAGTAAAATTGTTGTGAGTAATAAAAAAATATAGCCATAAATATTTTTTGAATTTTAACACCGTAATTCGGAAACGAGAAATATTTTATCTAAACATGATTTGTTCAGTTGTCTTATTTTTAAATCGTCAGTTGTTCTATGTCCCATTCTTAACGAAATACCATGTATAGTATAATAGGTCCCTTCGTAATGATACGAAGACCTTTATTCTTTGTTGACTGGACACAAGAATAAACTACTAAGTAAATATACCGATATTCCCAATTATAATCCAAAACTTTTATTTTTATACCTGCTACCTGCTACATCGAAAATATTTTTCAAGGTCAAGAACTCGTTTACTTATAATCGCGTAGCAGTTAGGGGTGATGAATTTGTCATTTTGTAACAGTTACCGTTTAGAATTATTAAAATTGTTACGCCATCTGTTGAACAAAAGAACTATTAAATATGGAATATTGTTCCATCTGTTGAACAAAAGGATTCTTAATTTATTACACATAAATGACATCTATCAAAATTAGTTCATGTTATGATTATTGGGGGTGGTACTGTGTCCTTAAGCTTGTTGTATTGCTGTTTGTAATTTAGAATGTCTTTTTAACACCTCTTGTTTTTTTTTATGTAGGTTTTGTAATACCTTTAAAAACCTTATTATCCATAATTATAAATCACTTATACAAGAATCACAGAAAAAGTTTCTATAGAAACTTTTATTTGTGTACCCTTATATTATGGAATATGTCCGTAATATGGAACATGTTTCAAGAAAAAATAAAACAAGACAAAATAATATATTA